GCTTTTGATTTCCGAGAAATTTATGAAGGAATATTATATTAGTTAGAAACTCAGTAAAACATTAGGTGTTTATTGATCAAAAGTGATATTGTGAATAGGTATCTGCCTTACAAAACTATACAGGGTGTTCAAGAAAGGAGAAGAAAGTTGCAGCATGAATTTTGTAGAATATGACAAAGCAGATGAACCACATTACGTTAACAATGGTTAAGAAAAACTGAACAAATATGCGGTCTTTTTTCTGACTTTAGTTTTGTTCCTTCCTCTTGTGGGACATCATTACTTTGATTATTTTAGAATTTGGTGCCAAGATTGTATTGAAATGTAAAAACAATAAATTGCGTGTCAATGAAGTATGGTGTAGGTTATGATACACGCGATCGTGATCATTCTTTTGGCATGGATGCTTTGTTTAAAATGTTCAAAAAGAAAAAACATATACGCACTGGTAAACAAATTTAATAACTTGGCAAGTCGCAGGTACCTCGTAGATCTTGTCGTATTTTTATTTTTTGATGCGTAATTTCTAATAAAGTCTAATGTCTTTGGACGCCACGTGCTTCCATACTAATAGGTCTGAGACTTTTTCACGTTCTAGCAATTCCCAGTTTATTTTTTGTTTCGAGTTACCGGCCATTTCTTCACAGTAGGTAGGATAGGTTAAAGTATAGGTCGAACTTGTCTCTTCTTGTTACATCCCCGGTCGTCTTCTAATTAAACGAAAGGAGTTCTCCTACCGGTTAATTGAAACTTATTGCTTATTATCGGGGTACCGAAGAAAGCAACAAAAGCAGAAAAAAATCTTATTTAGTCCATCCCCAAAGGATCGCTGCCCCGTGTCTACGAAAGTGAAGGCCAACTTAATAACTTTCGTTCGTTCTGCACGAAATCAAAATTAACCTTTTTGCTAAATGACCCCGCCGTTGGTAAGAGATTGCCTTTTTGATGTCGTCAATTTTTTCATACACAATTATTCGTTTACTTGAGACGAATTACTTACTTCGCTTTCCCGTTAAATTTTCATTTTGCGAATTTCGTTGTTTGCTACAAAGAACAAAAGGAAATTTTCAATTAACAATTCTCCCTTAGTTAATTGCGAAACTCGAAATTGGCTTTCTGATTGCACTTTTTGGGATGACGGGTTCTAAAATACAATTTTCACTTTAATAAAAAAGAAACCTAGCGACCCTTACACCCTTCGCCAGGCGTTGGATAGTGATTGATTCTGAACAGGAACGTAATTAATACAGAGTGGAGCAGTAGATCCTTGGGAATTTTAAAATTAAATAATAAGAATCTACTGTGTGTTATTATAAGGATAATTTTATGTGCTATTTAATTTTTTAAGTAATTAATGCATCTGTAAAATGGGTTCTTTCGTTTTTTACAGTGTCCTTATTTCCTTGAAGGGTCCTTGTCACCCTTTGAATCGTTTCATGAGGAATCGCTATAATTTAATTTTTAATTTTTAATGTGCTAATTATATAACCATCAGATTTGTCATGGGTTGAATCATATGTATATTGGCACAGTATACTGTGCCAATTCCAATTATTTTATACCCTTGTAAAGTAAAACAAGTTCATTCATCTACGCCATGTTTTTTAGACTCCACCCATTTATCGGATTCCATGTTTTTTAAGCTCCGCCTATTTATCGGATTCTAATAGATTTATACAGATATTCAACCGTATTTTCACGTTTTCATATCAAGCAATTTAGTTTGAATAATTCGATAAACCAACTCAACAGCGTTTAACTGTGTTATTAGTCACTAAATTTAATGCTGCTCGTCCAATTTCCCTCGCATACTAATATTTGTTCTCAGAACGTACCAAAAATCAAATCGATAACATACAATTATTTCCTTTTGTTTAATTTGACAACGTTGTAAGGAAGTAGTTAAACATTGACGTAAGATTAGCCTAGGATATTTAGTTTCTAGAAACAGGTACGAAATTCGTGAGTATTCAGCAATTCTATTTGCTAATGTTTGCTCATTTCTCGCTCTTGTTGTAATGGACGTATAACAATAGAATTACCCCAGACGGGTTGAGAGGTGGAAATTCGAACTACTCATCAGATAATTATTGAACATTTATTTCATACCCTCGTCTATTGCACTTCACTTTAAGTCTGACACATCCTTTCTCTTTGGTGATTTAATAATCAGAAGTCCTCACGTTAAAATCCAAGGATCTTGATAAAAAATTTATATAAAGTGTCACCGATTTAGCGTGTTGGAAGATGACGAACAAGTTATTAATTATTTCACGTTCTTAGCGGCATTTACCTAAAATTAATCGTATCTATATTACATATTCTATGTTAATTATGAATGAAACTCGCCGTGAAGCTTTTGAAATTGGACATCTAGTGAATAGATTTTGATAGGATTTTCACTGTAATGTAGACTATAATCTTTGAAAAACTTTTAGGTATGTTGAACTATAATAGATGTGATGTAGTAATAAAAGGTTAGAAATGAAGAGGTATTAGAACGAATGGGAGAACAGAGGACTCCATGGAATTCAATAAAAAATAGGCGAGATAGGTTGGTAGGACACCTTTTCAGACATGAAGGTCTAGTCAGAGACATATTAGAGGCAGAAACAGGAGTTAGGAAGGGTAGAGGTAAATCTAGGTTAGATTACTGTTCGCAAAAAGTTAAGGATGTGGGTTGTTCTGGTTTTAGGGAAATGCGAAGATTAGCTCAGAATAGGAAAGAGTGGAAGTACGCGTCCAAACAGTCTTAGGACTGACGACCTTATGATGATGATGATAAAAATATAAGTCCAGTTATCGATAACGGCGTGGACAATTAAGAACTTATAATTGAAAAATATCAGACAAAAGCTATTTAGTATTAATGATCACCAACTTGGAAGTTTTCTAAAAGTTTACGTACTTTTCATCCAGTTATCTCTTTCCTTGATTGTATCGTTACTAGAATTGTCGGGAAAGTTCACCAGAAGCCATTAAAAAACTTACCCCTCTTTACGTTATTTTTGTTCTCAGGATAATTATTTTCGAACTAGGTAGGTACATAACTACCATTATATGTACATGTAGTTTTTCAACTACCACTAAATTTTGTTTAAAGGTGAAGTAGGTAGTTATAATCTATTAAGCAATGTAAATTATTAATAACAAGGTCGAGGTTTTGTTTATCGTCATTTATGTAGAATTGTGGTTTTCAGTTGCTGTACGTTTGCTCTTATTAGTTCGTATTTGCTACAATATGTAGGTTAACTGCCATCAAAATTACGAACAAAAGGGACATAATGAAGCGTTTCTATGTTGAGAGTTGTTAGAGAGGATAACGATTCCGAGATTTATTCGTTTATGAAACTTAGTAGCTGAACATCTAAAAGGTACTTGTAATAATTTCAAGTTTACGTTTATTAAATTGTCCGCTGGAGAAGTGCCTAACAGTGCCGGCTGTTCAATAGGATCACATTTATTCGTATTTTATTTAAGAAGGAAAGAGAACAAGGACTGTAATTTGTCTTCTGTCGTGAAAATTCTTATAAACGTAATAATACATGTATGTAAGGTCCGCAACTTAAATACGCTTATGTATGAATGGCGCAGGTAGCAATCGATACGGTGCAGGCGGCAATCGATACGGCGCGGCGGAACGTTTGTAGTTAGTCGAGACTGCAAGACAAGAAAAAACAGACAGGAAATTTCCGGAAATATTTAAGAACATTGCAGGGTAGCATTTGCACGGTTTCAACTAATAAATATCTAATAATTACTTAATATTATATATTGTTTATTAGGAAAATATTTTAATTTCCTCCGTGTGGAAATCAGCGCCTGAGGTGAAGGACGGAATGTTGGGTTTTCATCCTTGAAATCAGGAAAAAATATTGTGCTTTTGGTGGGGTATAGTAAAAAAATAAGTTCTTTGTGTATTGTGTGTACGAGTCACCACTGCTTTGAAACATTTTTGCAGTATCGTACGAAAAAAATAAAAACGCGGAGTTTCTTCGCCTTTTTTGACAAAGTAATTGGTTGAAGGACCGACGTGTGCCGGTATGTATAAATGGATTGTTAAAAAGGACCATTTGAAATCCGAAATTGACTGTTATGGATCTCCGGAAATTCAAACAGCCGAGCCGTTTGTTGTACGCCGTGCGTAATCCCACGGACGTTATTTCCACTGTATGAAAATTTAATACAAAACTGAAATCCTTACGCTAAAGCTTTTCTGCCACCAGCATACATGATTAGCCAATAGACATACGTACAATATGTGTAAAGCATGGTATAAAATCATTAGGCGGGAGTTATTACTGGGAGGGACGAAGAATCGGGAGAAATCAGGGATTTTAGGAAGTGTGCACAGTGTGCACTTTATGTAATTGAATATTTGCTCTGTATTACTTGTCATTGGTTAAATTGTGATTCAATATGTTTCTTTTATAGTCAAGCTGTAGTAGTACAATGCTTGCAATTGGTCAATGAACTGTTTCTAAAATATAATTCCAGCCATTGTAGGAGGTCAGTGTATTACTATAAAGCAGAGAAAAAAAAGTCGGTTGTCTGTAAAGTCGGATTACTGACGATAGTTGAACGTGACAACGTCATAAGAAAATTCTGATGGAATGGTTTCATTTTTTCAAAAGAAAATTTTAATTTTATTTGTTTGATAGATATTTTGTATGGATATAGAGAAGGAGGTAAATGGAAATGTATTATTGTATAGCAGCTGTCCACGCGGACGCATCGCTCACTCAAGTAGGAGAGAGACAGATGTCGAACGCTGCCGAACGCGGAGGCCGATTGTGCCTCTTTGTCGCTCGTTCCGCGCTCTCGCTTGCACTTCAAGCCTTAAATGGAACGCCTCAGAGCGAGGTAACGCCGCATGAGTCATGTTTTTTCGTGCGTGCAGCCGGCTCCATCGAATTATAAGACGTTGTCACGTCAAAGGCAGGACCAACAAAAATGTTGTGTTATCATTGAAAGGTTCCAATAGAAAAATATCAAATTTGCACATTTTCTTTTTTTTTACTTCCAATATTTTATTGTTTCGATCTTTATTAACCACGGTGTATAAAATAATGCATTTCTTGATGATATGGGCATTATCCCTTGACAATGTAATAAGTTGTTAATGGCCGTTAGGTATAAATGAAAGTGTCGGTTAAGGACTTACAATTAAGTAATGAAGTGCCTGGATAAATAGTTGCCTAAATAGGGTCTTTCACTGCCAAAATTCTCTTTGCATAGGACAATTTTGTTAAGCAAAACTGTGTTCAAGGAAATGTAAAACCCTTCTAATCACATTTCGGAGGCTAGGTACTACCAAATGATAACAATTTAACGGGTGTAATCAAAATTACAAAATTAATTACATTCAAGCTCAAGGCAGCCGCAATAATGTTCTTAATTGATGAGATTCACAAATTCCATTTTCTTGTCGAATGATATCAGAGTTGAAACGTTAAATCTTCTCGAAATATGGACCATCTTTAAATACTTAAAACCCCAAAACTATTAATTATTTATTGTCTGCGAAAATAATTAAAGTGCTTAATTATTAATAAAACTTTACAAGGTTGAGTGTGTTCATTTCCATCCTTTCCGTGCCTTATAGTCTTGCCATCCTCCCGAATAATTGTACAAATTTTTATAGCCAATCCGTTGCATAATTCTCATGGCTTGCGTAGATCGCACGCCAGCTTGACAACTGAACACAATGGGGAAATCCCGACCGGGTTTTGACCTTCCGTAATTTTTTTTGAATTCTGTTTCTGACATCCGACTAAAAGCCAGCTCAAGCTCCGCAAGCGGTATGTTGACGCTACCCCGAATGCGTCCACTATTTGCCACTTCATGTCGATCACGGACGTCCACAATGAGCACCTCGGGGTCGCCTTCTACTTGCACCACGTCCTCGTAACCTACCACTGACATAGGACGTTTTGTGATACCTTTGAAAAATACTTCGGATATTAAACGCATCGGGACAACAAAGGAGAAAGGAAAATGTTTTGGGGGGACATTCCTTTACACATTTGGGCCACCATTAACTACTGGATAACCCTCTTCAGTCGTTAAGAATTTTCATTTTTTGACACCTGACACTTGATGATTTGATTTCTACGTCTCAGGTTATGGTTTACGTCAAAATCGTAGATGGGGAGTGCGTTCCGAAATATAACCCAGCACACTGACGTAATAAATCGACGCCATATTGTAGTGGTGTGCCACCATATTGTACTGGTGACACAAGCGTGACGTAATAGTATATCAAACGGGCGTGTCTGCATCAGACTTTGAGGAATTTGTTATTGTAAGAACTTTAATAACTTTTGGAGCAAAATTGTTGTAAACGAGTATAAACACTGTTCTCAATATGGCGTCAATTTGACGTCAACGCACTGGCCAGTATATTTTGGAACGAATCAACCGTATGACGTCGATATTCGAGAACACACTTGGGGTAGTTGAAGGATTGAATTTACCGACAATGCCCTGATGTGAGATACGTTAATTAATACAAATTCATGTTCATAGTAACTTACTTACCTTGGTCGTTGTTAGTTCCATCGTAGACGTGTAGATTCTTGTATCCCATATTTTCCATAATGCTCGAAGCTTGAAAGGACTTTTTCGGAGAGTAATGGAAGAATATTATTGCCGAATCATAGCCTGGCTTTGGGAGTCCGAAGTGTTTCAAGAATTGATCGCTCGACATCGTCTTAAAGACGTTCCTTAACGTTTTGAGGGGGATGTTGACATTACCACAAACGCGTTCGGAATTTTCTATTTCATCACATTCCCGTAAGTCCACAATAAGAGTGTTCGGGTCATCTTCAACTTCCACAAAATTTTTGCAAGAAAGCCTCTCCCAATACAAAAGCGAGGTCAAAATAAAGAAAAGAATTGTTTTTCGCATAGCGGCAGTAAACAGAATTTGGAATTTCTTTCTTTTATTTTGGTAATTGACAAGTATCTATAGTTATGTTTCGTTTAGCAGTTGTGCATTCCCTTGTAGGTGAAAACTTTTCGGTATCCTAATCTTTGCATGATTCTTAAAGCATGAGCAGCTCTAACCCCCGCTTGGTAGCAGATAATGATTGGACAGTCAGGTCCCGGTTTCTTGAAACCGTAGCGAGTTTTGAATTCCAATTCTGAGATTTCATTAAAAGCATTTACGAGCTCGGTTACTGGAATGTTAATACTTCCACAAATCTGTTTAGTATTTTCTACTTCGCAACGATCACGAACATCTAGAAGAAGTGCATTTAAATATCCTTCTACTGCCGCGTTAGTTTTCACGTCCATGAAATTGAAATTAAACGGCGAAGAACTTCATTCTTGCTCAGCGTTTTTTTGTTTTCATTTTTGTTTTTTGGAAAAGAAATTTTGTATTTGTAACAAAAAAATCGAAAACTGTCAAAAGATATAAAGAATTTGGCATCAAAGCATGTTAAAATGCCGTTTGGCTTTGAAACTTAATAAAACATGGAATTTAGTGGAAAGCGTTAAAAAACGCGAATTAAAATCGGCGCTTTTGTTCAGATTTTATGTCAAAGCACAGTTGAAATTCATTTCCACTCAATAAAAATTGATAAGTGTCCTATAAATGATGTGTCACTATTAAATTCTTTTGATTGTCAAAAGTACTATGTGTTCATACGTATTAACCATCAAATATGTGTCAATATAAGTTCAATTTTGATCTTTGTTAAAAATTCAATCTTAGTTTTCCAATTCGATGTGTTAATAACATTAGATGTTAGGGGGTTTGTGCATTATTAGTATGTGAAATAACTTTCAGTATTATTGGACGGGAAATTCTTTGTGTTTGTTAGGTTATAGGAAAATCTATTTATGCACACTAGGATGTTTCTGAAATAAGTGGAAAACTTGCAGGAGGTGATAGGGTACTATAAAACACGAAAACACATTTGAAAGTGCAGGCAAAAGTCATTCTGGCTCTAGAAAATCACAGAAAAGAATATGCCAACGCAACGCTGCATTCAATCAGCTAGTAACTAGCAGCATCACTGCTGCAATTCTTTTATTTTCTGCTCTGTATTACTTGTTATTGGTTAGATTAGATTAAATGTGATTCATGATGTTCATATTATAGCCAACCTGTAGTAGTTACTTGTTCTATTAACGATTTATACTTGCATTTAGTCAATAAACTGTTTCAACAATATATCAATCATTGGTATAGGTCAGTGTGTCACTGTAGAACAATGATGGGGCATGATACCTATTTGCGGGCTCCAACTAAGTATATTTTCGCTGTAGAAGACGAAAATTTGGTAAAAGATAACCCTTAAAGTAGTACTCATTTGACAGTATGGCAAATTTTAATGAAACAGTTACTGCATGCTTATCATTTGCAACGAGTGAAATTCTTGCGGGAAATATTGTAGTTACCAACGACATTAAGGTTATATAATAATGACAACCGTATTAAGATATGTTCAGGGATTTCAGAAACGTCTGGAAGAAATGTCCTTTTTCGCCGGCAAGGACAATAAAAGCCAAGAACACGTTCTGATAAATTTTCTTAGGTGTATTGATTTAATTATGTATAAAACTGAAAATACGTGAATTTTTGAGCAACATTGATTGATAATTCAGAAGCTCGTACAATTTTTGCCGGTTGCTATTTTAGTTTATCGATAAGTCGCCTGATTCCAGCTAAAAAGCTTTTACATTCGGCGTCGCACTCCATCATCATGGCCAGATAACAAAGTTCCGCTTGTCTGTAGTCTTTTATTCGTAACATTTCGGAGACTTCGATAACAGATTTTTGAATTGAGACTGGTAACTTGTCTAGTTGCCACGCGTTCTCCAGTTTATCAACTAATGGTTTTATTTCTTCCCATTCTTTCGAGTCCGATGGTCCCAAAAAAGTGCTTAGATTGCTCATACATTTATTCAAAGCTTTTGTGTGATCCCACTCATCTGAATCTCCTTTTTTCTGTTTTTCCTTTTCTTCGCGAACTAGAATAAAGAAGGATAAATGCAATTGTATTAAGAATCGATTTTATTGTAAATTATTTCGTAATGTGTAATTACGATTAAAAATTATATTATTTCCAACCTTTTTTAAGATAAGCTTTTGATTTATGGTATTTGAAAGCCATTTTAAATTTTGTACTATGACATTAATGTCTGATTACCTTTGTTATGGGAAGTATTAAAATTTGATTTTAATTCCATATTCCGATAATGTTCAAAACTTAATTAATTAAATTAATTATGTCCAAAATTGTCATAAATATCTAAACAATTGTAGAAGTTTAAGTCCAAAACACGAAAATTGTCTGCAATAAAAAAAATAACCTATAGAACACTATATTTTTAAAATATGTCATTCTAATCAAACAAACTAAAAAATAATTTTGTCGTTCTTTAGTGTTTTATTAAAAGTCTCATTCTACGTTCATCAAAAAGAGTGCGGACGAATGGTCGCACTGCCCACGCTTTCGATACTAAGTTGCGCGCCATTATAATAGTGTTAAATTACAATAATTTTGAGATTTATTTTTCTTGTTTCGGTTTAAAAGTTTATAGTAGTATTAGCATCAAGCAAGGAGGAGTTAGAGATAGCTTTAAATAAAATGGAAGCGGTACTGACAGATCAGTACTTTATGAAAATAAATAAAAGTAAAACTAAAGTACTAGTATGCAAGGGAAGAAAAAGTAGGGAAAGAGCGAATATAAAGATAGGAGACGACAAATTAGAAGAAGTGGCTGATTTTAGATATCTAGTCAGATAAGTCAGGAAGGAGTAGTAGATCTAAAGCAGAGGATAGCAGAGGGTCGTGTAGCCTTTAATAAAAAAAAGTCACTTCTATGCTCGCGAACGGTTAACTTAGAAATTCGAAAAAGGTTGTTAAGGGTGTATGTTTGGAGCGCGGCGTTGTACGGGTGCTAAACATGGACAGTGGGCGCGGCGAAAAAGAAAAGATTAGAAGCTTTCGAAATGTGGTGTTATAGGCGAATGATGAGGATAACGTGGGTAGAAAAGGTTAGAAATGTAGAGGTATTAGAAAGAATAGGAGAACAGAGGACTCTTTGGAAGTCAATAAAAAATAGACGAGATAAGTTGGTAGGACACCTTCTCAGACATGAAGGTCTAGTCATAGACATATTAGAGGCAGAAACAGGAGTTAGCAGGGGTAGAGGTAGACCTAGGTTAGATTACTGTTCGCAAATAGTCAAGGATGTGGGTTATTCTAGTTTTAGGGAAATGCGAAGATTAGCTCAGGATAGAAAAGAGTGGAGGTACGTGTCCAACCAGTCTTAGGACTGACGACCTTATGATAATGATGGCTTAAAGGTTGTATAAGTACTAAAAATGTGTTCGCTTCCTAAACGGTTTGAATTTATGACAGGGTGCATTGAAAACGATTCAGTAACTTTTTATTGAAGTTTACAAGAAAAGCTGTAAATTCATATTAGAAAGGTCTATCCTTTTTGTTGGAAATAGGGATTTGTACGTATGTAGGTATTATGTCGTAGATTTATTTTTCTTCACAGCCCAAACTTTTTCGAAGAGAGTAATCCCTTTTCGTAAGAAATGTTGTGTAAAGGATTCTTTTCTAATCCATTTCGTTGTTAGTGGTGACGTGTAGAAGCGTTTGTGCCCACAAGGCAAAGAAATTTCCTCTTCCCCGGATGTTCTGCAAGGCGATTTCCTTCTTTTACAATGTTTCCCATAATTCACTAAACTGTACTTCGAGCCACTGCTCTCTGATTTCCTTTTCGTTGTAGACAATCTATGTATACGGAAATGGTTCGCTATATAAAATCCCTCATGTAATTTATTTTGTGATGGTTTACCTTACACGTATAACTACATACATTCATATAAAGGCAACACGGAATAGAACAAGGAAGTTTTAAATAACACTGATGCAAAAGCCCATTAGTTTTTGGCAAATAATTTGTTTTTATGTATTTTTTTTTCTGTTTATTGTTATTATATTATACAGAATGATATTTCAAAATGTAAATTTCATGCGAAATAGTTTTTATGCATATTGTTTTCTAGCTTTTTGAATTTCACCAGTGACTATTCTGACATTTGTTTTGTAAACAGGACTTGTGTAATAAAACAGATTCATAATACCATTGAGAATAATTTACACGATGAAAGTAAGGAATTTTACATGCGGGTGTTATTAAGTAATACAATTTTCTTTACGATTCTCCTGTGGATGAAAGAAATTTTTATACGAAATTCGTTCTGATCCCTAACTATTAGCAGAAGAGTATAGTACAATAAAATTAAATTTAAACGGTAAATAGGTTTCAAAACGCCAATAAAAGTATTTGAAAATATATTGAAACACCTATATGTAGTTTATTTACTGCGAAATGTTTTTATTGTGTCTTCGGATTGCATAAACCGAATCTATTTTGTTTTTTCTATTGCTCTGTCCTTGCGTTCTAAGAAGCGTATTTAAAATTTCTTTCAGTTTGTCCTATGTAGACTTTAGAGCAAGAACGACAAGTTAGTTTATTATATTCATAAATTCCTTTATTTTTTTTATTGACTTATCTTCATTATTTTCGATAAGTTTACGTAATAAATAATTATTTTTTAAGCGATATTAGTAGATCTAAGCCTTTTATGTAAGAACAAGTTTTTTTTTGTCATATAGGGCCTAAATAAGTGATGATCGTGTAATTAGCATTTTTATTTGAGTTCAAATGATCATTTTTGTTAGTTTTGAACTATCGATTTATCTGTTATAGTCGGGTTATAGCTGCTATTTGTTTACACGCGTAATTAATTACTTATTACTTGTAATCAGACAAACTGTATGAAATTTCTCATTCACATAGGTGACGTAGGTACTGAAATGAATTGGTATACTTCGTTTACTTTCTGTAGCGATGTGACCTTCAGTTTGACCGGCGCAACATAGAAAAGAACAGCACTAGGCCAGAAAAGGAAGGAGACAACTCTCGGCCAAACTCTTAACCGGTGAGGAGCGTATAATCCGTACAGTACTGCACGGAAAAATTGACCATTTTATCCACTACAATTGCATTGCTCAAATGTGCTGTTATTGGTACCATTTACTACTGAAAATATCAACGAGATGTTTATTTATATTTGAAGACATATTAAAGGCTCTAACGCTTGTTTTCGACTCGCACTACTATTCATGATTGAACAAAACTTTTGGCAGGCACTGTATGAAAAAGTATGTTTAAAGAACAAGAGTCAAGAGTATAATGAGCTTTTTTCTCCCTACCTACGATTTTGCCAGCGCGCATCCAAGACATTGGAAGGGGCACATCGCTAGAGAAAGAAAATGAAGTATAGCTACTCCTCGAATTGAGTCGGCATCCCTGTCGAGTTATTGGAGAAGTTGACCGGCAGGATTTACAGATCTGTCGGAAAGATAAAGAAATTTAGACCTCGAACGGAAAAGGGGATTCTAAATAGAATGCTTTTAACAGATTTTCTCTTGTCCAATTTTTCGAAGCCCATCTCGTGAAATTGCTTTTTATTTATTGCGAAAGGTGAATCTAATATATATGTACACGTAAGGCAGCAAAACGATCACCGCGCGCTCATACGAATTCCTTTGTCGCAAGAAAGAAAATGCATAATTTAGCGACGGCGTCAGTTTCTTTTGCAAACAGAATTCGGTGGATAGTTATCCAAATTGCTTTAGGAAAAGAAGCTTGCTGCTGAAAGAGGGCGAATAATAAGGGCAGGTCTAGTTGCAATTTAAGCGAGTGGAGTATCATGTGCAGATTGTTGTCCTGCTACTTATCCTTAGAAGTTGTGCTCGGTCTCGACCTGAATTTATTTTCACAATAGATGCACACGAGTTGACGAGCTCCAGGCGGAACCAACGTATATAAGAACTTTGCAATTTGTGTTGCGAACCTGCGAAAACCCGTATTGCGGCACAAGGTTTAAGATGATGAAGAACAAGAAGAATGCATCGACAAAATTATGCATTTCCATGTAAATTGCTTACGAAATGTAGTCTTCTGGTATAAAATTTGTGGCGTTTCCTGAGAATGCTGCACTAGCTGGTAAACATTACCCTTTAACTAAAGACACTTAACAAGATACCATCCCGTAGGAAAAATTTCCATTAAAAAAATGCCATTTAATGGAAATTTTTCCTACGGGATAAGCCTAAAATTATGAGTGGTTAGTCACCTACAACATGCGTATACAACCATTTCAACTGTAAATAATACAACAAGAACTGTATGGAATTTCTTTAGTGTTTGTACACCAATTAATTTTAGATTTTTTTTACTTCTTTTCTTAATTGGTGTGTCGTTAAATTTCTTCAATTTACAAGGACGGTATGCAGTCCTTGGTTGGGATTTGATGGAGATTAAGCTACTTAGTTTTATATCGTAATTAAGTTCGTTCTTTAATGTATTCAGGCAAGGAAAATTGATCCAGCAACGTTTATCTACATAAAGCAGCATTAGGGGAAGCCAGTAAATTTAGAAGATGTTTATTATTATCCATTTATCGACTCATAATAATTAGGATCTGATAATTAATATAGACGTTCACTTAAAGGCCTATTGGGGGTTGTAGATGCTAAGTTCATGATTTTATTCAAGTGTGTATATTCTTAAGGATTCAAGGATTACTATTTAATCGTTTTCAAAGAAAACTTGCGCTGTTCACAAAATTTTAGTGAATGGGATATTGATTAATAATTTTGAAGAAAAGGACCCATGTGTTCACAAACTGTGAGATTGTACGTTATCCTAAAGCGTTGGTCGTTTAGCAGATGTTGAAGGGTCAAAGTTGACCTAGTTTTCGATTTCAATGGGCAGTTACGTCAGCTTTGGACAGTTGTAAATTTTGAATTAAACAAGTTACTGGTGTGGATTCTAAAAGTTTGTGAGTCGCTTTTCATTATAAGCAATTCCGAGAATTCTATATATAAGACATGGATACGATTCTTTTAAAGTCAAAGAATTTCAATAGAGAATACCAGGCAATTACGTGTATCTATAGGTAATTGATTTATTAATTTTTTTATGAACCTTACCCAGCTAATCTTTCAGAAGTAATAGATCTTTGTAATTGACTAAAGATATCGATTGTAGGGTTGGCTGTACCTGCATTAAGAAGTTGTAATTATGACTTTTTAAACATACATTTTCTGCTATTTAATT